GCTCTCTTTTTCCTTCGTGGAAGCGAGCCAGTCTTGTGCCTAGGAATGCTCCTTCTGAGCATGTTTGAGCTTTGCGCGCTTCTTGATGCGCTCTTCAAGAGAACTTATCGCATGCGACATCCTGGGCCTTGCTGCGTCCGCTTCACTGGCCGCGGCAAGGTCAGAGACCTGCTGAATGGCGGAGAGTGCCTGGTCGATGTCCTGCAGTTGGCATTGGGGCTCAAGTCTGTAGGGATTAGGCAATTTGGGGATTAGGGTTCAGGAGGGTTGGTAGCTCACAAAGACCAAAAACTGTTTGATATTTACTGCTTCAAGACGATGAGTGAATGCGTTCAGGCTGGCTGGGATATGCAAACTGGAAGCGTATGCCTGCCTGTATGAATTCTACATGACTGTTAGGCTTTAAGGACTAGGGCTTAGGGCTTAGGGCATAGGGCATAAACAAAAAAAACGCTTCGATTGCCGGTTGCTATTGTTGCCTGTTGCCCTCTTGGAGTTCAAGTTCAGGGGAGTTGAGGGCACGTTCTTGTCCTTGCTGTTGACCGCTCGCCGTGGACTTGGAGCTGCATCATCTCTCGTCCCTTCCCAGGAGAAGGCCGCAAACATGCTCTGCAAAATGGCCATTAGCACTGGCAGGGCCATGGCATTTCCTGCCAAATCCTGCATCAGTGCTTCTGTAGGGGACCAGGCCTGAGGCCGCTTCACTGCTTCGTGCTCTGAGAGTAGCGGGAGAACTGGAAAGCCTTGGCACATCAGCGCTTCCCGCCCAAGCCACACACGCTCTTGGCCCTCCAGCCAAAGCAGCATCTTTGGCAAGACTGTTGGGAAGACATGCAGGCCCGACTCGGCATCTTCGCTTTGGATATTTGCCCTCTGCACGGATTGGGACAAGTCCCTGAAAAGGAGCTTCGGGGACTGAACCTGCGCCAAGCGCAACACATCCTGCTCCCGCTTTGTAAGCGTCTGAAAGCAAGGGTTGCTTCTCAAGCTAGCGGGCACTTGCTGGCCCCAGCGAAACTTCAACTGCCTCGCAAAAGCCATGTGAGAGTCCATCCAAGTTTGAGGCGTAGGACCGGCCTTCTGGGCGGCCTGGTCCCTCTTTTGACGTTTTACTTCTCGAAGTTCCAGGTCAGCGGCCACCGCTGGATCATCTGCAGGTAGCGGAATCTCAGTGCCACAGCATGGGCTGCGGATGCAGCTGCACATTACAGCCCTCAGGGTGGCAAACATAGATGTAATCGATCTGGATCCGAAATCCACCAAGCGATTCCCTGCCACCTTAAGGAAAACCACGTAGACACGGCGCCTCCTGGCCGGACACCCTAGTGTCGAAGCATCTGTCATGATGGTCTGGGCTTCAAAGCCTCTGTTGCCCATCTCAGCCAACAAGATATCCAGATTGCTGGCAACATCGTCACCGCGACAATCCTGGTTGCATCTGATCATTGGCAATTGTTTTATTGGCTCATCTGACTACTAAGCGAAGCCCTGAAATCAAATTAGATCCGTGTAATGTAATGCCACTAATTAATGGTCTTAGATCCGAATTACAAATCATAAAGGTTGCCTGACCTATCAAGCGAAAAGATTAAACTGGATACTTACTTAAACTTGAAGTCACTTGAATCACTTGAAGCTCGGAAATGCAAAATTCCAACCGATACTTGCTACTTGACTCACTACAAAACCACACGGCATCCTATCTCAACCAATGCCAATCCAATCAGTCAGTCAATCAAGCCAATCCATCAATCAATCAATCAATCAATCAATCAATCAATCAAACAACGGTTCTAATATAAATAATTCAACCAATCAATCAAGCCATCAATCAATCAATCAATCTAATCAAATAATCAATCAATCAATCAATCAAATCAAATCAAATAATCAATCAATCAATCAATCAATCAATCAATCAATCAATCAATCAATAATGTCAATCATACAACCAATCGATCAATCAGTCAGTCAATCAATCAATCAATCAATCGATCAATCAAATCAATCATTCATTCAACCAATCATTCAACCAATCACTCAACAAATCAACAACTACACAAAATGAATGACAATGATGAAGCACAGCGTCGTCTATGGTGTCGACGTTCTCGAAGACCACGATGCTTGGGCTGTGGCTGTCAATGTAGGCCAACATGCCTTTGAAAGTCTGGGCACTGCCGCCGTCTGAGGTGTCGTTGAGAAGTACCTGGTTGCGCCGAGCTTTGTTGGGGTTTGCTCGGGACATGTCTTTGCAAGAGGTCCCGATGAGGAGGATGTCCACCTGTGGAACTGGGCAGTGGTGGATCCCCCGGGTCCGATGCTTGGGGCGAAATCTGGGCAAGTTGGTGCCTGGTGGGAAAACCCTGGACCGTGTATCACCGTGTATCTGCGTGTATTCGACTCTTATTAAGGGGCTAATACCGTGTATCACCGTGTACCGCCTTTCGTGTTGTAGTGGCTCGGAGGGTGCACGCTTCTGCTTCGAGGCACTGGGCGTCCTCGCTGCTGAAATGGGAGCGGGCATCTCATTTCGGCACATCTTCAGCTGTGAATGCAACGAGGAAAAAATTCAATGGATTCAAATGGTCAACGATTTAGCTCCCGCTGCAGTGGCCAGCATGAATGCGAGGCTAGGTGGGCAAAATAGCCTTCCTCCAGCACGTCCTCCTGTGGAAGAGGATGCTAGGCCGTGCGTCTTCACAGACATTTGCAAGCTTGGGCAGTCATCGGCCCCCTGCGCAGCTCACGCTAGAAAGCCTGACTCTACTGCCAGCGAGGCAGCAGCGGCTTCGAGCTCAGCTGCCAGGGTCTCTGACCGCGCGAAGAGCTTGGTCTCAGATTCCCCTGTCAATGGACCCCTGCCT